CGCCCCTCCCCCCCCCCCCCCGTTCGTAACTAGGGGTCCGACTTACGTCGGATTGACGTAACCCGGGGACTTACTGTACTAGCATTCATGACGTTTTCCTGAGGGGTAATTTCTTATTTGCACAGGAGTGTGGTGGGTTGGGTTGATTTTGACTAAAATCCTGTTTAATCCGTTCACCACTTAAATGTTACATTTAACTGGTGAACTGATTAAGCTGGATCCAGTGGGTTGGGGGTTGCTCCAGCTCTGCTGGGGTGGAGCAGTCCCCATCTGTGGGCAGGGCCTCTGACCCCACAGGATCACGGGTTACTTGCTCACATCACTAATTCTGAGATTAAATTAGTTCAGTTCTTCAAAATCTTTCCCCCTCCTTCAGCTAGCCATTCTGTAACTAAATATATTAACTAAACATGTTAAGCACTTGCTTGTATTAGAAGTGCATCTATAAACATTTCAGTTGCCTGCTTTGTGTGTCTCTGTTCTGACTGCTTTTTACCCCATTAGGCATAACCCCTTTTATTGCTGTTCATTTAGAACTGTATATACTTGGGGGAGGTAGTGTAGTGGTGGGGATTGTAGGTTGGGAAATGGAGAGTGAGAGAGGAGAGGAGATTAAGAAAGAGAGGAGGAAGGGGAACTGAAAATTCATGCAGGGAATGGTTTTATGCAGAGACTCTTCTGTGATTCTCCCTGCTGTAGCATCTGTAATGTGTGAAAAGTAAAATTGTGTTGTTAGGTTCAGACCAGAAGACATATTCTGGCGGTCTCATGAAACCAGTGATAAATGTTTTCAGAGTTCTTTACAATTACAGATGATTTTCTAATACAAAAGATATTGCACCCAACATGAGATTACTCTATTTTGGATTTCATTGTGGGGAATAAATTACTCGAACTAGAAATTGATGGTTGCACAGGGCCCAATGATCATGTCCTGTTGATATTCAGTAAAGACAGAAAATGATGTTAACCAACAGTAAATATTTTTGCTCCTTCAAAAAGGGTAGTTTCCCAAAGCAGAGGAGAACTATGAATACAATTGACTAGGAGGAAAAAAGTGTATAGGAAAAATGTGAATGAAAACTGGGCTTTCTTTAAGAAGCCTTTTCATGTATCAAGAAAGAGGGTAATTTTGACTAAAAGCTGCTGCCTCTATAATGTTTGTTTGCAGCCCGCGGTGCAGTTTGGGTTTATGCGGGGCTGAACACATGGCCCGCGGGTGGGATCCTTTGAACATGGCCTCCACTGGGAACACACTCCACAATGGCGAGTCAATATAATGGTCTTCTGTTGATATGCAGTTTAGTAGTTAAATTCCTGGACTGTCATTGCTCATTAAAAATGCTGTCATGGGTGGAAATTGCATACATATTGCATTTTATTAATATCAGCAGAACTGACTTAAATGGGACCTGCATGTTATATAGTCTTGCCTTAATCTTTGTATTCATGCCCGTCAGTGTGAAAGAAGCTATTTACATATGTATGCAACCACACTTAAGTTGTGGCCCTCAGCATGTGCTGTGAGTATCATTACGGCCCGCAGGGTTTCCACAGTTGAGTAGCCCTGGTTTCATTTCTGTGTAGACTTCCAGGCTCTAGGACCCTGCAAGGAGGGAGGGTCCCAGAGCTCAGGCTCCCCACTAAACCTGAAAGTCTAGTCTTCAGTGAAACAGCCCAAGTCCCTGAGCCTGAGTAAGCTGGCATAGGCCATCTTCAGGTTTCTTTTTGCTCTGTAGTCATACCCACTCTGGCTTCCTCGGGCAGGCTACATTTTTTCAGTGTGACCCCCAATATCCTCCCAGTCTTTCCAGACACTGTCATGTAGTGTCCAGCTCTCTTGCTGACCACTTACGGACATTATTAATTTTGCTTTTTCTTTAGAGACCCTGCCCACTGGCTTGTTGTTTTAACTGGGATTCATCAAAGCATTGAATTGGTTTATAGCAGTGGTCACCAAACAGTCGATCACGGAGGCACTTTCTCTATGCGGTGTTCCCACCTCCCTTTGTTCTCCCCCACCCACAATGAGAAGCCTACGCTGGTGCTACAGCCTCCTGCCCCTTGCAAAATTGGAGCCAAAGCCGGATTCCTGAGGCGGGGGACAGGAAGGGCAAAGTCCCACGGCTCCATGCCAGATCTGACTTTTCAGGAAGTGCGTGCACACTGCTCCTCCTCTCCCCAAAGCAACAAGTGCACTTTCTTGTCTTGCCTTCCTTCCCCCATGCACCAGGGAGGCATGGTTCGGGGCCGGGGGGGGAAGAGACGGGACAGGGAAGGGTTAAGGTGGCAGCGGAGGACCTGGAACAGCTGGATTTCTTAAAGGAGCCACATGTGTGCTTCTTCCAGCACTTCCTGCAGATCCTTGTTGAGAGATACTCGGCTCTGGAGACCCCCAGGTACTGGCCAAGCTGCCCCTGCCACCTCTCTCCTGGCTAGACACCTACCCCCAGCTTGCTCCTGTACACTACTTTTCACCCAGATTCTGCACCTCCATCCCAATCCCACTCACTGGCAGCTCTGTTCTGCACACTGGATCCCTCATTTTTTGCCGCAACTCAGAGCCTGGGAGGGGGGAGGGGGGCTGTGAAATCCGATAATCCTGGAATCCCAAAAGAGTTAATCTGACCTGAGGTGGAGAGCCAGGGGAGGGAAGTGTTTCATTTGGGGCCACATCAGAGAGGCTTGGGGGGATTTTGGAGGGGTTGGTTTTTTGCATCTCAGTTGTGTGGCCCCCGACTGACTTTTTTTTTCTGTGGTTCAATGGCCCCTGACCCAAAAGAGGTTCCCCACCCTGCTATAAAGACAATGCTAAACCGTTTTGTGTTGGACCTAATATTTTATTTAAAAATGAAACTTGGCCAACAAGCCCCCAATTGGGGCCAAGCCCCCATCTAGCCACAGCATCATAACACTCCTGCACCCCCCCACACATGCCAACCCTGAGCCCATCACACACCTGAACCCCTTCCCTGAGCCTCACACATCCCCAAACTCCTGCATCACCCACATCCCTAGTCTTGTGCCACAACACTCCTGCACCACTCACATACTGCAGACCTGTGCCATGAGCCCACCATATACCCAGCCTCCCTGCTCTGAGCCCCTCATACATCCCAACCCAAACTCCTGCACCCTGATAGCCACAAGTCTGTGGTTTGTTCAGCCCCCACACTATCCAGCCTGGTGCCTCCTCCCCGAGCCAGCATCCCCCTTCTCCATCTCCTTCTGCACCCAAATTCCCTCCCAGAACTTGCACCTCTACCCTCTTCCCACACCCAAATCCTTCATTCCCACCCCAGAGCCCATACCTCCTGTCTCAACCCAGAGAGAGTGTGAGGGCTGGGGACAGCAAGTGATGGAGAGGAAGTGAATGGAGAGGGCAGGTGGAGGGTCTTGATGGGGTAGATCTTGGCTGGTCCTGACATTTAAAAAGTGATCTTGGGTGTGTAAAGATTGGAGACCACTGGTTTATAGTGAAAGTTAAACAAGTTTAACAAAAAGTCATGGGATTACATATAAGAAAACCTGCCAATTTGAGCTGCCGGCGTGGTGTTTCTGGGCCCAGGCCGCACACTGAGACCTGCTGCCCTCTGCCCCTCAAGGAGCATGCATAGACATGGCAACTGCAGCTGACTCCTGGGACTAGTGTGGAGTCATGGTAGGGAGGAACTTAGTCAGCCTTCCTGAACTCCCTGCTGCAATGCAAGCTGGCAGAAAAATTAAACAGTCTGAATCCAACCCGTGGGTCCCAATTTTGTGTATCCTTGGACTAGATGATTAAGGCCAGGAGAAACAATTAAACTCTGTAAAGCTATGAAACAATGGCCCTGTGCAATAGCATAATACTGTCTCAGTTGTACAATGAACAACTGAGGCACAGAAAAGAGACCCTTACTCCGTAGAGAAGAATTCCTCAAATAATCCTGCTAACTTCATTGTGTTACCCTTACTCATGCTGGGTAGCAACAAGTGTCTGGTCCTAAGTGACTTTCCCAAGGTCATGCACAAGTTTGTGGGACAGGAATTAGTTCAAGCTTTCCTGAGTTGTAGACCAGTTCATTAACTACAAGGCAGACCTTTCTCTGAGGAGTCAAGCATGATATGAGAACTAGAGTGCTTGAAGCAGTGTTACCAAAGTCAGTGCAAAAGGTGAAGAGGTTGGTTAGCTATGCTTTGAAAGATCACACCTTGTTCCCAGGATAGGCTTCAACTCTGGTTGCATCTGGGGAGAACTGAAACACATTGGCTACGTCTACGCTGGCATGATTTTCCAGTAATGCTTAAAACGGAACAGTTTTCCGTTATAAGTATTTCCGGAAAAAGCGCATTTACATTGGCAGGATGCTTTTCCGGAAAAGCACTTTTTCCGGAAAAGCGTCCGTGCCAATGTAGACGCTCTTTTCCGCAAAAAAGCCCCGATCGTCATTTTTGCGATCGGGGCTTTTTTGCGGAAAAGAGCGTCTACATTGGCACGGACGCTTTTCCGGAAAAAGTGCTTTTCCGGAAAAGCATCCTGCCAATGTAAATGCGCTTTTTCCGGAAATACTTATAACGGAAAACTGTTCCGTTTTAAGCATTACTGGAAAATCATGCCAGCGTAGACGTAGCCAATGTGTTTCAGTTCTCCCCAGATGCAACCAGAGTTGAAGCCTATCCTGGGAACAAGGTGTGATCTTTCAAAGCATAGCTAACCAACCTCTTCACCTTTTGCACTGACTTTGGTAACACTGCTTCAAGCACTCTAGTTCTCATATCATGCTTGACTCCTCAGAGAAAGGTCTGCCTTGTAGTTAATGAACTGGTCTACAACTCAGGAAAGCTTGAACTAATTCCTGTCCCACAAACTTGTGCATGACCTTGGGAAAGTCACTTGGTTCGGGGCCGGGGGGGGAAGAGACGGGACAGGGAAGGGTTAAGGTGGCAGCGGAGGACCTGGAACAGCTGGATTTCTTAAAGGAGCCACATGTGTGCTTCTTCCAGCACTTCCTGCAGATCCTTGTTGAGAGATACTCGGCTCTGGAGACCCCCAGGTACTGGCCAAGCTGCCCCTGCCACCTCTCTCCTGGCTAGACACCTACCCCCAGCTTGCTCCTGTACACTACTTTTCACCCAGATTCTGCACCTCCATCCCAATCCCACTCACTGGCAGCTCTGTTCTGCACACTGGATCCCTCATTTTTTGCCGCAACTCAGAGCCTGGGAGGGGGGAGGGGGGCTGTGAAATCCGATAATCCTGGAATCCCAAAAGAGTTAATCTGACCTGAGGTGGAGAGCCAGGGGAGGGAAGTGTTTCATTTGGGGCCACATCAGAGAGGCTTGGGGGGATTTTGGAGGGGTTGGTTTTTTGCATCTCAGTTGTGTGGCCCCCGACTGACTTTTTTTTTCTGTGGTTCAATGGCCCCTGACCCAAAAGAGGTTCCCCACCCTGCTATAAAGACAATGCTAAACCGTTTTGTGTTGGACCTAATATTTTATTTAAAAATGAAACTTGGCCAACAAGCCCCCAATTGGGGCCAAGCCCCCATCTAGCCACAGCATCATAACACTCCTGCACCCCCCCACACATGCCAACCCTGAGCCCATCACACACCTGAACCCCTTCCCTGAGCCTCACACATCCCCAAACTCCTGCATCACCCACATCCCTAGTCTTGTGCCACAACACTCCTGCACCACTCACATACTGCAGACCTGTGCCATGAGCCCACCATATACCCAGCCTCCCTGCTCTGAGCCCCTCATACATCCCAACCCAAACTCCTGCACCCTGATAGCCACAAGTCTGTGGTTTGTTCAGCCCCCACACTATCCAGCCTGGTGCCTCCTCCCCGAGCCAGCATCCCCCTTCTCCATCTCCTTCTGCACCCAAATTCCCTCCCAGAACTTGCACCTCTACCCTCTTCCCACACCCAAATCCTTCATTCCCACCCCAGAGCCCATACCTCCTGTCTCAACCCAGAGAGAGTGTGAGGGCTGGGGACAGCAAGTGATGGAGAGGAAGTGAATGGAGAGGGCAGGTGGAGGGTCTTGATGGGGTAGATCTTGGCTGGTCCTGACATTTAAAAAGTGATCTTGGGTGTGTAAAGATTGGAGACCACTGGTTTATAGTGAAAGTTAAACAAGTTTAACAAAAAGTCATGGGATTACATATAAGAAAACCTGCCAATTTGAGCTGCCGGCGTGGTGTTTCTGGGCCCAGGCCGCACACTGAGACCTGCTGCCCTCTGCCCCTCAAGGAGCATGCATAGACATGGCAACTGCAGCTGACTCCTGGGACTAGTGTGGAGTCATGGTAGGGAGGAACTTAGTCAGCCTTCCTGAACTCCCTGCTGCAATGCAAGCTGGCAGAAAAATTAAACAGTCTGAATCCAACCCGTGGGTCCCAATTTTGTGTATCCTTGGACTAGATGATTAAGGCCAGGAGAAACAATTAAACTCTGTAAAGCTATGAAACAATGGCCCTGTGCAATAGCATAATACTGTCTCAGTTGTACAATGAACAACTGAGGCACAGAAAAGAGACCCTTACTCCGTAGAGAAGAATTCCTCAAATAATCCTGCTAACTTCATTGTGTTACCCTTACTCATGCTGGGTAGCAACAAGTGTCTGGTCCTAAGTGACTTTCCCAAGGTCATGCACAAGTTTGTGGGACAGGAATTAGTTCAAGCTTTCCTGAGTTGTAGACCAGTTCATTAACTACAAGGCAGACCTTTCTCTGAGGAGTCAAGCATGATATGAGAACTAGAGTGCTTGAAGCAGTGTTACCAAAGTCAGTGCAAAAGGTGAAGAGGTTGGTTAGCTATGCTTTGAAAGATCACACCTTGTTCCCAGGATAGGCTTCAACTCTGGTTGCATCTGGGGAGAACTGAAACACATTGGCTACGTCTACGCTGGCATGATTTTCCAGTAATGCTTAAAACGGAACAGTTTTCCGTTATAAGTATTTCCGGAAAAAGCGCATTTACATTGGCAGGATGCTTTTCCGGAAAAGCACTTTTTCCGGAAAAGCGTCCGTGCCAATGTAGACGCTCTTTTCCGCAAAAAAGCCCCGATCGTCATTTTTGCGATCGGGGCTTTTTTGCGGAAAAGAGCGTCTACATTGGCACGGACGCTTTTCCGGAAAAAGTGCTTTTCCGGAAATTCAAGGGGCCAGTGTAGACAGCTGGCAAGTTATTCCAGAAAAGCGGCTGATTTTCCTGAATAAGTGGCCAGTGTAGACACAGCCATTAAGAAGGGCAGGCCACGAGGTGGCCAATAGAGCTGATGCCCCCAAAGCAGGTTTCATTAGTTTGGTTGAGGAAGTGTGGACGCAAGGGGTTGGTGCACGTTTCTCTTTCTCTCCTCTCCCTCCTCTTCCCCCCCCCCCCCAACACACACATTGCTACTGTTTGTTTTCAAAAGCCAGTGTTACTTGAGTACAAAGAAAGAAGTAGATGTTTTCTTGTATGTCTCAGGTGAGGCATAGGTATCTCTTTGTGACATAGGAGCTGAGTGTTCTGGCAAAGTCTTAGCAAGTGTTTTGGATCCTAGAGTCACAGAACGTACCTTCCCAGATACCTTCTGTCTGCCCAGAAAATTGTGCTCGAATGCTTCTTGTGCACTAATCTGAATAAGCTTTTAACTTCATCTGCCTGGTTCTATTTATTTAAACACTAGGTGTCAGTGTTGCTGTTTTAATATTTTACCAGAAAAGCTTTTTCTCAGAAATCTGCTGCTTTTAATCATCAAAATGTTCATTAATCCCATAATAAATTATCACGGCTCTCTTCTCTTCCCTCCCACCCCAACTTCTTAAATCATCACTCAGAGGAGCAAATGCTTACACAATGTATTTTGTAATAAATTCATTATAGTGATGTATGCTCCGTTGGATGACTTCTTGAGGAATTAGTTGTAACAGGAAATGGTGCATGGTTCTGAACTCGTGTAACATTTCAGCTTGAGAGGAATTCTGGTAGTGGTACGATATTATTAGAAGCAGGGAATCTGACATTGTTTTCTCTTTCATCAGGTTCCGAGTGGAGTTCAGAGCTACCAGAAGACAGTTTCTCTTCAGAGGGCGAAGCTTTAGAAGCTGACAATGAGGATGAGGCGATGGCCCATGGCAATGTGGATGAAAATGAAGCAGAATCCCAAGCTGGCCCAAGTGCGGGTTGGGCAGATGCCATGGCCAAAGTGCTTAACAAAAAGATTCCCAAAAGTAAATCCACCATATTGGTTAAAAGTAAAGAACTGGAGAAGGAAAGAGAGAAAATAAAAGAAGAGAAGCTAGAGAAAAAGAGGCAGGTGAGAGAGACAGAGTGTGATATCACTGTGCAGTACAGCAGCACTTAATGTGGGTTCCTGAGCTAGATCCCCTGGTAGAGATGAGGAAGCTGCTGAGAGAGTGTTCTCCATAAGAACTGCTCAACTCAGAGCCATATTTGGACCCCGGGTGAGCAAGCATGTTTGCATCCCTTCTGGTTTTTCTCCTATTTTTCTGCCTCTGCAGCTGCCCAACGTAGTTATCACCTTCAGGGTCGTTCCCTCCTCTGATCTGAAATAGCTTTAATCTGCGGACATATAGAAGGCCTGTCTCTTTATCCGCACAGGCTTTGAATTCAAAATAAGGTCTGGTGTTTGGCAATGGGAGTACAGGCAGTCCCCGGGTTACGTACAAGATAGGGACTGTAGGTTTGTTCTTAAGTTGAATCTGTATGTAAGTCGGAACTGGCGTCCAGATTCAGCCACTGCTGAAACTGATCAGTTTCAACAGCGGCTGAATCTGGATGCCAGTTCTGACTTACATACAGATTCAACTTAAGAACCCCAGGCGTCCCCAAGTCAGCTGCTGCTGAAACTGATCAGCAGCTGATTTCAGGAAGCCCGGGGCAGAGCAACTCTGCCTCGGGCTTCCTGTAGTCAGCACTGGTCAGTTTCAGCAGCGGCTAAATTGGGGACGCCTGGGGCCGGGGCGCGGGGGTGGGGGCCGGGGGGGGCCGGTGGC